TTTTAGATGTAGGTCATTCTCAAAGGTCACTGTCACCATCAATGTCCTCCCATTGTTCATTGATTTGCTCGAGTGGGCACCAATAACATCTCCATTGTGAGACTTGTTGTTACTATTTTTGGCATATTGAATATGTCACAGGGAGCTTGCCAGGCTCTGCTGTGTGGGCGGGATAATGAGTAATTTGAGCATATTTTCATGTGATTGTTCATCATCTATATGTTTACCTAAGTGAGTCTGTTCTGTGCTTCTTCTAGTTTTATTAATTGAACTACTTGTTCACTATTGTATTTTGTACATTGGGCTAGAGCGATAGCACAGCAGTAGGGTGTTTGCCTTGCAAGCAGCCAACATGGCGACCCGAGTTCGATTCCTCCGCCCCTCTCAGAGAGCCCGGCAAGCTACCGAGAGTATCTCGCCCGCACGGCAGAGCCTGGCAAGCTACCCGTGATGTATTTGATATGCCAAACACAGTAACAACAAAGTCTCCAATGGAGATGTCACTGGGCCCGCTCGAACAAATCGATGAACAACGGGAGGACAGTGACAGTGACAGTGACAGTTTTGTATCTTGCATACTAGCAAGTTGCCAGGTGTTATTTAAATATTTTCTCCCACTCAGTAGGAAGCTTTTTGAAGGGAAGGCAAAGGAGGATCCTATGCAATTCTCAGCAGGTCTAGGATCTATCCCAAGAGATTCTAAATCAATTTGGCTCTTTGATGCTAGAACCCATACCAATGCTGGGGGTCACACATGCCATCCGTTTAGTGCTCAGTAGTCTGCAGGCCTATCACCAGTGATGCTCAGGTGCCATGTGGTGCCAGGGATCAATCCTGGGTTGAATTCATGCAAGCTATGAGCCCTCAACCCTTTTCTATCTCCCAGACACAGCAGGATGCCTTTTTGCTTTCATTTCACTGTACAGAAGTTTTTTAAGTTTTCCTTTATTCAATGTTGCTTATGCCTTGATTCCTGATAGGATACTGCAGGCACTAGTGTCTTTGTACAAAGGGAAATACAGGCTTTATTCTGGGATCATTGTATCTGTAACCGATATGATTTATCTGTGAGAATTTATCTGCAAAATCTGGGTGCTTAGATGCCTTTTGTTTGTGAACATGTAGGTCTAGTTCTTTCTTGGGGCAGTTTGTACTATGCTCTCTGATTCTTCTTGTTTGCCTTTTGTAATTTTTTTCTCCTTCTCCTAGAGAATATACCAGAAACATTTCTGTGGAGGAAAAAGCAAAGCTGTTTATAGCCATCTATCCATATTCTATTTTCCCTGAACGTAGTTTACTGGATACTTGCTGAACCTACTTGTCTTCAAAAGCAGGGAATGGAGTTGGGAGAGATAGTACAGTAGGTAAAGCTCTTGTCTTACATTAAGCAGACTTGGATTCATATGAGCACAGAGCAAGGAGTAAGACCTGAGCACTGATGAGTGTGGCAAAGAAATAAAGAAAAGAAAGCAGAAAGTAACCTAGTCACTCAAAAGATTTGACTCCCTAAAGAAGCATAATGGATCCATCTAAGGGTACAAATCACAGATTAGGACGTTGTAAGAATAAAAATGAATTGTGAGTATTCTGAGAGATATATAACTAAATTTTACTAATATATATTGTAAATTAATTTCTTTGTGAAGTCCTTTTGGTTCTTTTGGTATAGAACTGTACAGAGTTTTGTGATCTCATTTGGAAATAGTTCTTTGATGGTATCATTGCTTAAATCACAGTGTATTAAGATGTATTCTAAATCTAATGATTAGTGTTCTAATAATAAGACAATGTGAAGACTCAGAAGAGGCACACTGGAAGGATCACAGAGTATAGCAGACTTAAGAGGTAGATTTATATGCAAGAAAATTTCAAATGCAAGGAATACATTCATATGCAAGAAACTGCCAACAATCAGAGACCAAGGGAATGCAAAGAAATACCCTTGCATCTTCCAGGGAGCATGGTTCTGTCAATATCTTAACTCCAGCTTTCCACATTTATAGATCTAAAGGAGTGAGGAAAATTTTTCTTGAATTAGGCCACCTAACAGATGACAGTTATAGTACTTCTAAAAATCTTTACTGGAAACTGTACAAAGCTTCACTGGGAATGTTTGTGTATGGAGGTGACTTTACTTTATATTCCCTTTCTGCTGTCTACAAGATGCATTAGCAATTACATTTCATAGATGAGAATTGTGGGACAACTGAGTTCCTTGGAGAAATAAGATGATCCTCTTTTCCAACTCACATTCACTGTCACTGTCACTGTCCTCCCGTTGTTCATTGATTTGCTTGAGCGGGCCTAGTAACATCTCCATTGTGAGACTTGTTGTTACTGTGTTTGGCATATCGAATACGTCATGGGTAGCTTGCCAGGCTTTGCCATGCGGGCGAGATACTCTCTGTAGCTTGCTGGGCCCTCTGAGAGGGGCGGAGGAATTGAACCCGGGTTGGTGGGACCGGGCTGCACACAAGGCAAACGCCCTACCACTGTGCTATCGTTCGAGTACAAGTCACATTACAAAGTAAAAAACAGGGCATCCTATGTCAAAGATGCGCACCTCCACAGTCTGCTTCTGTTTTTGTCACACTAGAATATGGCCCCAAATAAATGTCAGCCACTTCCTAGAAAAGAGTATCAGTGAGGTGAAATGGGGCTTTATTTTAAATGAACTATTTATGATTATAGTCAGACAAAGAACCAATCTAGGAACCATTTGCAGATACTTACCTGTGTCTAAGAACAACCTTTAATGGTAAAGGTAAAGTCCTGGACAATCAGCAAAAACTGCATGCAGAGAATCTGGAGGGGCTAGGACAGGCTGGGAAGAGTAGAATGTGAGTGGGGGAATGCACAGGGACAGACACAATTATTCAAGAGAGTGTGCTGCTCTCTTGTGTTTCTAGGCATACAGAACGTAATGGTTATAACTGTTGCTATAGCACTGTAGCACTATCCTCCTGTTGTTCATGGATTTGCTTGAGCGGGCACCAGTAACGTCTCCATTGTGAGACTTGTTGTTACTGTTTTTGGCATATCGAATATGCCATGGGAAGCTTGTCAGGCTTTTCCATGAGGGTGGGGTACTCTCAGTAGTTTGCCTAGTTCTCCCAGAGAGATGGAGGAATCGAACCCGGTTTGGCAGCGTTCAAGGCAAACGCCCTATCCACTGTATTATTGCTATAGTCAACTGTTGCTATAACATACAAATATAATTTTGGTGCCGTTTTCTCAAGCGTTAGCTTTTTCCCTGCACTGATTTATTTTCATTTAGTTGCTGATATAAACATATATAAAAACCAGTACTGAAGAGCATTTTAGAGGTCTTTTATTTTTCACAGAAAATTAGGTGTATTTCTTTCACTGACTGCCACTTTGCAAAAGTTCACTCTATGCTCTGACTTACCAACTGACATAAAATATACATCAGTGCAACTTCATGTCCATGTAGAAATAAGTACAGAAATAGGACGAAAATTTGGTGTGTGTGTGTGTGTGTGTGTGTATATATATATATATATATATATATTTATCTTGAGTTGCTTGAGAAACTTAATGAGTGCATATATATGAAAATATAGCCTGGTGGGGACTTTCAGGAGAGATATCACACAGTAGGTAAAACAGGAAAAATTTTAATATTAAATTATTAAGTCTAGTAAAGAAATGCGGGCTGGAGCAATAGCACAGTGGGTAGGATGTTTGCCTTGCATGCGGCCGAGCCGGGTTCGATTCTTCCGTCCCTCTCAGAGAGCCTAGCAAGCTACCAAAAGTATCCCACCCACACGGCAGAGCCTTGCAAGCTCCTCGTGATATATTTGATATGCCAAAAACAGCAACAACAAGTCTCACAATGGAGACATTACTGGTGCCTGCTCGAGCAAATCGGTGAACAATGGGAAGACAGTGCTACAATGCTGCTACAGTAAAGAAATGTAAGGTAACTACGATGCCCCAGGATTGAAGGAAAATCTCTAAAGAAGGACACATTTGGAAAGGATTAAAATTTTGTAAGAAAAATCTAGACAAGTCACTGGATAGCAGAGAAGCTTGGTGGTTTGTCCAGGTAGTCTAACTGTCGGAAATTGCTGGGCAAGGCAGAGACCCCTTTTTAGGTCAGCAATAAACAGTAGCAGCCATGGGTAGTATTCAGTGGGATCAGGACAGGGGGTTTTACAGGGTGGAGAGGTGAGTACAGACAGAAGGTGTGTGTGTAAGGGGGGAAGAAGGGGGTGCCCAGGAAGACACCTGGGCACAGTGATTTGCTCATGGTTTCTTCTGGGACTCCTCACTCCCAGTAATGCAACTGTCTGTGGACAAGTTATCAGTTTGTCCATAGACATGGTCTGGGGCTCCTGCAGGACTCACAGAAGCACTCTACTATCAGCATGATTGACATTCCCTAGGACCCACTAGAAATAAGAAAGCCCCTTTCCCCCATAATGGCCCATTAGTGCCCTCTCCTGAAAGAGATTGTCAAGGTGCTCATCTTAAGGAGAGATGCTTCAAGAAATTTCAGGTTGCTTCTTAATAAAGGTTGCATTCAAAACAGAGAAGAAAAAAGCTGATAAAATAGAGAGAGCTTAGCAACAAGATATGTATGTAGTAGGTACTCAGTTGGAAGCTGTTATTATAACCTATTTCTTGAGACTTTACACACTCATCTCACTTGGAAAGTTAAGCTTTGGTGTTTCCATTCTCTTGTGATTTATTGCTCTGCACTACTATACTAGACACAATGTTAAGAACAGATACCTAAGTTATTTCTCAATCTCTCTTTTTATGGTTTTGGGCCACACCCTGATGCTCAGGGATTACCTTGGCTCTGCATTCAAGGATCATTTCTGGTAGGCTAAGGGGACCATATGTGATGCTGGGGATCAAGTCTGGGTCAGCCATAAACAAGACAAGCACTTTGCCTGCTCTACTATCTCTCTGGTCCCTACTTCACATTTTAAGTCACATATATTTTTTTCTTTCATTCTCTTTTGATCCAGGTCTTATACAATATACTAATTGCCTTCACAAAGATGCATAAATTTGAAGACATTGAACCTGTTGACATTTTGGCTGGATGTGCCCGGTTCATTATTGTGGGGGTTGGAGGAGTATTTTTTGGCATAGTTTTTGGATTCATTTCTGCGTTCATCACACGGTTCACTCAGAATATCTCTGCTATTGAACCACTCATCGTCTTCATGTTTAGCTATTTGTCCTACTTGGCAGCTGAGACTCTCTATCTCTCCGGGATCCTGGCGTGAGTACAAAGACCAACTCATGGCAGAAGCTCTAGAATGGCTGTCACATCTTGCAGACCAGCATCTGGGAAAGGGTTGACTTCTGGCATGAATCTTCCAAGGTGTTGGAGGATTCTGATTTTTCAACCTTTGTATAATCTGATTCATGTCCTCTGCCAAACAAATGTTCTCTCCTGCATTTACATGCTCTTTTCTTTTGATTTGCTTAAGGAAAAAATATCAATCAAGGTCAAAATAGACTACTCAGAAAATTAGACATTGAGAAGTGTTGGAAGAAGTGCAAGGTTAAACTCACATCAATGGTTACCCTTTATTAAAGAGCCCATTTATTTTAGAAGAGGGGTATAGGCTGGAAGGAGTAGGATTCCTGGTTTTTTTTTTTATTTTGTCCACAGCTTTAGTACTTTTCAGTGTGGAATGAAACAAGAAGTATGGGTTAAGTCTAGAAACCTAGCCTTCCTTTCTCCTAATGAAAACACCTTTCTAGAATTTGTTTCCCTATGTAGGTCTTGGAATGATATACTTATTATCTCAGGACATATGGCTTTCGTTAGCAAATTATAATCAAACTCAACTACTTGGACAAAAATATTTAGCTTTACTTTACAGAAAGTATATTTTAATTAAAAGAAGTGTGCATAATCTAGGTACTCATCATTTTCCAAGAAAAAAAAACTGAGAAAACCATTGATGCAAAGCAAAATTTCTTCTATCCTTTCTAAAACCAGCAGCAGGTTTAATAAAAATTTTATTATTGAATTGAAAGAAAGGTATTGTTTATCTGGAGATCTGGGGGGCTTAGCTGAACTACTCTTTCAAGATGACTATTTACTTTTATTTTAGGCAGAGTGAGACTGAGTATGAGAGGTGGGGTGCCCAAGCTCTTGTGAGGGTGGGGATAATATATGTCCAGTTCTTCTTTAGGTTTCTGCATGGACTTGGGTTCCAATTTGTTGTGGGAAGCCATGCAGTTCTACTTTTCCTACCACACTCAAGTTGTACAAGATCTTTAAAGAGGGAGAAAAGAAAGTCTGTTGAAAAACTATAACTAAAGAAGATGTATTTTCTGAAAACGACAACAACCAGGACTTGTGTTTCTGAAGCATTGGCAATGACTAGGACTTTTCATGAAGGGAAAATTTTGTGACTTCACTCTGAGATTCTGCTCTCTTCACAGAATCACAGCCTGTGCAGTGACCATGAAAAAGTATGTAGAAGAAAATGTGTCCCAGACATCCTATACAACCATCAAGTATTTCATGAAGATGCTGAGCAGTGTCAGTGAGACCCTGATCTTCATCTTCATGGGTGTATCCACTGTTGGGAAGAATCATGAGTGGAACTGGGCCTTCATCTGCTTCACCCTGGTCTTCTGTCAGATCTGGAGAGCCATCAGTAAGAGACAGCAGGACACTCAGCATCTCCTGCCAGCTTCTTTTTGTCTTTGTCTTACCCTTTCCTGAGATATAAAGAGTAAAACTAATTCAGTGATGCTAACTGGTTTTACCAGCTAGAGCAGTATAGGCACCTTGGAATGACCAGCAATGTTTTATATTTACTCCTTCAATCAGTTCTAAGTAATTAGTGATGGATAGATTCTGCAGTGAAGCACGGCTAGAACAAGGAGTACTTTTTTTTTTAACTGAAAAGAGAACATCTAAACATTTTCACATCTACACATTTAAATTTAACTCAGTAAATTTATCTCTTGCTCTTCATTTTTTTGTGACAGTTTGTACCTTCTTGCACCTTAAACCAGATATAAATTACAAACTGTGGGCATTTGCACTTCTGTTACAGGAAAAGTGAGATCTCACAAAATGTATTCTACATAAGGGAAGCACTGTTAGAAAACATTCCCATAAATAGTACAGGTTGTTTAGTTGACGGTTAAGTGGTAGCATCATAATGCAACTTATATCTCACTTATAAAATATGCCTTATTTTAAAAAATGAGGTACCTCAAATAAGTGTTGCTGATTTATCTTGCATACATATATATTTCTGGAGCTAGAAAGAAGAGTAAATATTGCACTACAACATATAGAATTTCCTTTTGATTAAAACTAGTACTTTAAAATAATTTTGACCAATATTTGGAGCATTTATAGAATGATACCAATAAATATTTTCATGTAGGGCGTTTGCCTTGCACGCAGCCAACATGGCGACCCGAGTTCGATTCCTCCACCCCTCTCGGAGAGCCCGGAAAGCTACCGAGAGTATTCGATATGCCAAACACAGTAACAACAAAGTCTCCAATGGAGACGTTACTGGGCCCGCTCGAGCAAATCGATGATCAACGGGAGGGCCTTTACTTTACTTACTTTATGTCAATTCTTAAAGGAGAAATCAGGAGAAATGGAGAAATGGTTTAAAACCTATCTTGAGGATATTAATTTCATTTTAATCAATTAAGATGTGTTTTATTTATTTATTTTTAATTTTTATTAGCAAAACACTATGAGGTACAGTTGTAGACTTACAAATATTTGTGCTTGGGTTTCAGTTATACAATGATCAAGTACCCATCCCTCCACCAGTGCCCATTTTCTATCACCATGGGTCCCAGTATCCCTCCTACCCACCTCACCCCCCCCCCCCATCCCACCCTGCCTCTGTGGCAGGGCATTCCCTTTTGTTCTCTCTCTCATTTTGGGTTCTGTGGTTTGCAAAAGAGGCATTGAGTGGCAATCATGTTTGGTCTATAGTCTACTTTCACCATGCTTCTCCCATCCTGGGAGGATTCTCCCAACACCCTTTATTTGATGCTCCCTTCTCTATCTGATCTCCCTTTTCCCCTAGCATGTGTGACTGGCCTCCAAGCCATGGAGCAAAATTCCTGGTACTAATCTTGGCCACTCTTGGGTGTTAGTCTCCTATTTTGTTACTTTATATTCCCCAGATGAATGCAATCTTTCTATGTCTATCCCTCTCTTTCTGACTCATTTCGCTTAACATGATACTTTCCATGTAGTACCACTTGTATGTAAATTTCATGACTTCATAAGATGTGTTTTAGAATAACAGGCAAGAAAAATAAAAGGAAAGAAATACTAAAATATTCATAAATCTAAATATATGTGCTTGCTGGGTGTCCAGGGAGGAAAATTATTAGAGAAACTGTAACATGGATTTATAATCTACATAAAATCTTGGTGCTGTTGCTAATAGCTATTTGATCTTGAGCAGACATTTAACTATTCAGAAACTTTAACTGTAGATGCTGAATATGGACATATTTCTTAAGCCCTTTTCAGTGCTAATACTGTGGGAATCTACATGAGCTATCACTGTATCACTGTCATCCCGTTGTTCATCAATTTACTTGAGTGGGCACCAGTAACGTCTCCATTTGTCCCAGCCCTGAGATTCAGCAGCCTCTCCTTATTCATCTTTCCCAATTTGGAGGCTCTTTCAGGATCAGGGGGATGATACCCGTTATTGTTACTGTTTTTGGCATATCAAACACACCACGGGTAGCTTGCCAGGCTCTGCCTGAGGGCAGAATACTCTCAGTAGCTTGCCGGGTTCTCCGAGATTATATATATATGTATATATATATATTCCTCTATATGTAATTATATATATATATTCCCCTATATATAATTATATATATATTTATTCCTCTATATATAATTATATATATTCCTCTATGTATAATTATATATATTCCCCTATATATATATATAGAGAGAGAGAGTCCCTTATGATTTGTTGTCTATTTATCTACTGTCTGAACCCCATCAAATATGGTGTGGTAATTATGGAAAATGGGTAGGGAGTGTCTTTGTCCTCCTCACACAGATTTGTCCTCCTCACACAGATCATGTCACTGAGAGAACTTCTCTCATCTTTAAAATTGCTTTGAGAATAGAATTATACTTGCTTTATTTTGTTTCTGACAAAGAAATTTATGAATGCGAGTGAGAAATTATATATGATATTTTATATTAAGAAATACCAAGATAAATTTCTTTAAGTATACACATGCAAACTATTATATGCGTTTATTTGCATGTGCTCTAGGAAACTACCAAAACAGATGTCAGTTTTGAATCACTCTTAGTATCATGTGTAAAAGTTAAAAAGCTTGATAAGATAGTGTATTTGGGATGGAAAGTCATGAGTATATAATGGAGCGAAGCCACGTTGTTTTGAAATCCTTTTGGTTTTCTAGTACTGAATCTGTACTTATTCCCAGTTCATGCAGTTCTCTGTCTCTGTCTGTCTCTGTCTGTCTGTCTCTCTCTCTCTGTCTCTCTCTCTGTAACATGCAATTCTTTTTTTCTAGGTGTATTTTCTCTCTTCTACATAAGTAACCAGTTTCGGACCTTCCCCTTCTCCATCAAGGACCAGTGCATAATTTTCTACAGTGGTGTTCGAGGAGCTGGAAGTTTTTCACTTGCATTTTTGCTTCCTCTGTCTCTTTTTCCTAGGAAGAAGATGTTTGTCACTGCTACTCTAGTAGTTATATATTTTACTGTATTTATTCAGGTTGGTAAATTTCTTTCATATTTCAAATAGACATGTCAATATAGGAGCATGTACCAGTGTAATAACTCCTTTCTCCAAAGAGCACGTTGTTTGATTTTTCAGACTTGTACTAAATACACAAACTAAATTACCAAGTATTTCTAAATTAAAATATTTCTAAATCATTCTTGTTGCCATCAGTGAGGCTCTAAAATACATTATTTCTTAATCCATAAAACATATTAGTCTAATATTCCCAGATAATAGGTAAATTATAGCTATTGTATATTGTTAAAAATGAAATTTTAATTAATATTGGTTAGCACAAGATTATTTTAGTTCTAATTATCACCAAACTAATAAAATATTATTGTAAGAGATAAAACTAAATCCTGTTTTAAGTAATAGACATAATTACTGTTTATATTACAGGTTTTAAGAAAACCTAATAATAAAAACTAAACACTGAAACATTTATTCAGTAGAATCTAGAACAACAAAAAAGCTATATATAGAAGACATTCTAATTGTTGATAAAATTGCTCTTTCTCATGACAATCTTCATTACAACAAAGTTCTTAATTTTTTCATTTCTGATGTAGGGAATCACGATTGGTCCTCTAGTCAGATATCTGGATGTTAAAAAGACCAATAAAAAAGAATCCATTAATGAAGAGCTTCATATCCGTGTAAGTTACTGTTTTAACTACTGGTTCTATATATTCCCCATTTCAGCAAAGGCCAGTCTCCTTACAAAAATAATTGTGAATGTTTTCATGCATTTAGTATTGCCATGCCATCATTTACTGATAGCATTATTTAGTGTTATTTTGTATACTATTTTATTTGCAAAAAATAAAAGATTTTTAATAGTCATTTAACTCCTCCTAATTATGAACTTGTTTAAAAAGAAAGAAAAACTTGCTTTATTGCCTTCAAATATGCTGTTAATGGTTTAATTTTTCTTCTTTAGGTCATTGTCCATTAATAAAGCAGAACTACAGGACTAAAAAAAAATAAATAATGCTTTAATGTATGACTTCAGCTAGAGAGAGTTGTTCCTTCCAGAAGGGGACCTGTTGATCTCTAAGAATTGTTAAATACTGTGGGGTAGGGGGAGAGTGTTTGTGTGTTGCTTTGCTTTGTTTTCTAAGGAAAAAAAGGTAAAGGCCCTCCCGTTGATCGTCGATTTGCTCGAGTGGGCCCAGTAACGTCTCCATTGGAGACTTTGTTGTTACTGTGTCTGGCATATCGAATACTCTCGGTAGCTTGCCAGGCTCTCCGAGAGGGGCGGAGGAATCGAACTCGGGTCGGCCATGTTGGCCGCTTGTAAGGCGAACGCCCTACCCGCTGTGCAAAATAAGCAATACTTTTGTAGGCCCTTTTCTGAGCATTTACCTTGATGTGTTTGCATTTGCTTTTTAATTAAGTTGATACCAGATTGTATAAGAGAAAGAGCCAGGTTGCTCTTAAACTCAAAGGGTCCAGCCAGTTCTGAGCACACAATTAAGTCTCTTAGCAGTTGGGATATGGATAGCTGGCGGATATGAAATCACTGCACAGCATGGGATGGCAGTAATGGTAATGGAGAACAGTGTGAGCCTCCCTAGTGGAGCAAATGCCTTGCATGTGAGACCTGAGTTCTATACCCAGCAAACCACCATCACCACCTCCCCACAAAAAAAAGGGGAAATGTTCAAAGGATCTTATCCATCTTTACCTTAAACTAAGCAATGTAACAGTTTAGCTTCTTCATTACACTGTGTCAAATATCACATTAAATGTGTGCTTTTTTATTGTTTTTATTGTTAATGATTTTAACATTTCATAAGTGATTTATGTTTTGTATGTAACATATTAATATGTAAAACAATGCTGACAGCCTATCAGTAAATGATGGCACGGTAACACTAAATCCATAAAAACATTCACAATTATTTTTCTAAGGAGACTAGTCTTTGCTCCAAATTGCATTGTCATTTGTGTAGTCATTATTATACCCTGGGCCTGTTTTTTAGAATTTTGCTAGAGAATTTTTTTTCTCTTTTTACTGAATCACTGCAAGATACAAAGATACACAGATGCAAAGATACAAAGCTTTCATGATTGAGTTTCAGTCATACAATGATCCAACACCAATCGCCCCACCAGTGCATTTTCTACCACCAATGTCCCCAGTATTTCCTCTGCCCCCATACCAACCCTCTCCCTGCCTCTGTCACTGTCACTGTCACTGTCCTCTCGTTGTTCATCGATTTTTCTCGAGCGGGCCCAGTCACGTCTCCATTGGAGACTTTGTTATTACTGTGTTTGGCATATCGAATACATCTGTGGCAGACAATTTTCTCCATACTCTTTCTCTACTTTTGGAAAGCACTATTTTTAACATCAAAAAAGTTGAGAATCAAATGAAAGATTTTAGAGTTACACATACATTTGATGGGGGAGTAAAATACAAGAGAATTCATCTAACTGTTGGGAAGGAACTTTCATTTTTTGGCAACAAATAAACACCTTCCAATACTGCAAGAAAGCCAGAATTTATTTAATAAGTGAAAAAAATTGTATTCATTTAAAACCACTGTTAAGGGATGGAAAGAGAGTACAGTGATTAAGGCACTCGACTTGCACCCAGCCAACCCTTAGCACCACATAAGGTCCACAGAGCACAGCGAGGCAAGCTCCCTGGGTGGCACAGACCAAAGAATTAGCCTAGAGCACAGAGCCCCATACTGCTTGTGTTCGCCTTCATCCAACCCCAAAGCACTGCTCACATTGGAAAATCTTCATCTTGCCATTCTTCTTTAAGCTCCATTCCTTCCATCCTCAGCTTGGACTCAACATCAACTACTAACTCCTGATAATCCAGAGAGCCAATGTCCTGTGAAAAGAGAAAACTGTTAGAAAAACTTTCCACTTAGTTTTGTTGTATTGGGGCCACACCCAATGATGATCAGGTCTTAACCCTGGCTCTGTATTCAAGGGTCACTTCCGAGTGAGTAGCTCGGGGGGATAATGGTAGGTGCTAGAGACAAATGCAGGTCAGTCATAGGCAAAGCAAGTGCCTTATCTGCTCTATGACCTTTCCACCCCTCTGCTTTACCTTTTAGCTGCTAAGGTACAAAAATCTTAAACTTTAGCTTGTACCTCTCCTGCATAAGTCACTGAATGGCTTAATGACCTGGTAATGTTTGCTTGGCTACAAATATCATTTAACATTTCTTGAATAAAAAGTGGTGTGAATATAGCACAGCGGTAAAGGGTTTGCCTCGTGTGCAGCTGGCTCGGCCGAGCCGGGTTCAATTCTTGTACCCCTCTTGGAGAGTCTGGCAAGCTACAGAGCGTATCTCGCCTGCATTGCAAAGTCGTGGCGTATTCGATATGCCAAATACAGTAACAACAAGTCTCACAATGGAGACGTTACTGGGCCTGCTGGAGCAAATCAATGAATAACGGGAGGACAGTGCCCCATTTCAGCATTGAAAACAATCCAGAGTGATGATGAAATAAGAATGTATTTATCAGATATCACTTCATGCTTCTTTTTTTCCAGCTCCATCAAATATCTGTTTAAGTTTCCCGAAATAGCTAAATGAATCACCATAAAAATAGTAGTTTAAAACAATATAAAAATATTGTGTTCTAGAGTTTAAAAGTTCAAAATTATTTTTATTGGGTTAAATTGTTAGTGTTACAAGATTGTTTTTTTTTCTTTCCTTAACTACATTTTTCTCAGGCTTTGAATACTATATAATTTTGATGAATATAGATTTTTCACTTTTATATAGAGCCTGGTAAGCTCCCGGTGGTGTATTCGATATGCCAAAAACAGTAACAAGTCTCACAATGGAGACGTTACTGGTGCCTGCTCAAGCAAATCGATGAACAAAGGAGAGGACAGTGCTATATACGTATACACCACACCTGATGCCAAAGATTCACTACGGTTTCCATATAATAAACACTTTAACTATCACAATATCCATTTTAGTATAGCATTTTAGTATAAGCTCAAAATCCAAAATTTTATTTAGCTAAATCTAATCAGTTAAAGAATCCCATATCTTAGCAGCTTCTTCACCTAAACTAGCATTTTTACCCACACTTAAGTATAAAATCTTAAAGGTTTATACTCCTCTCCAACTTGGAACCTGTGAAACTAAGCTTTCTGCTCTTAAAATATACTGTTAGGAAAATCATAGTATAATAATTATAGAGTCATTTTTATAAAATATAAAGAAAATGGGAAGAAAAAAAATAGTTATCTATTCCAAGAAAGTTTCCAAGACTGGGAAAATTCTATCTGGTTTCAAGTCCTAATCCTCTTAAATTCTTTGCTTACTCTGAATTCTCAGCTTTGCCCACTAACTCTTCCTTTTTTCAGAAAGGTGGTTATGTTTATAGTTCAGTAGTCTGATGATGTTAGAATATTACTTGGTCAAACAGCCACTTTCTTGTTCAGTCCAATCTGGCCGTTTCTGTCAGAATTTAGCAGAGCAACAGAGCCTGTAGAGCTGTATATTAAAAGTTTTGTTGCAAGGAATTGGCATGTCCATTGTAGAAGCTGAAAGGCAAATTCAAAATTTGTATTACAGACTATCAAGAAAGTTGACTGAGTTCTTAGAGAAGGACTTTGTACACTTGGAATTATTTCCTTCTTCAGAAAAACCACAGGTTGTACTGTGCAAATCTTTAAGTGATAAGTAGAAGCTTCCATGCATTATGAAGATTCATCTACTTCACTTAAACACTTAAAGATTATGGACTCAAATCTGAATCACGGTTACAAAAAAATGCTTTTACAGTGTCTCCTAGATTAGCAGTTAGTATTAGCCAGGGACTAGACTATTTAAGTTCATATGCCCAAAGGCTATCACAGTCTCTAAATTCAGTGTTGCCTCACTTCCTTCTGTTATCATTGTTTTCTTTTTCTGAGTATCCAGTTAGGACAAGGTAAATATACTGATTCTGTACATATTGCCTTTAAGTGATGGATGATAATTTTGTCTTTCATAATAAAGATGAAAATAATGATGAATCTGGTTTCCTTTGTTCAAGTTCAACCTGATATCGAAAAAAAAGCCATTCTATATGGCTCCAAGGACTAAATTAAAAACTACTAAATGGAAAATATAAGGATAAAAACATCATTTCACTTAACAAATTCTATTCTCACAACTGTTTTTTGAATTGTATGGTCAAAGATGAACATGATTAGGCAATGATTGGGAAAATAGCCCAGTTACTGTGAAGGCTCTTTAAACTTTGAGGGAACAATTGGTCCAGATAATTTTCAGTATTCTTTCATCTCAGAGTTCATGATTTTGATATTGAAAAAACCATCTTTCAAAATCAGATCAAATCTTAGAAGTAAAATTTACTAGAGAAAACTAAAAAATTTCAAACCCAAATAAAAAAGTTCTCAGCTATTGCAAGATATTTCATAGACAAAGATAGGGACTTAGTATTTTAAAAGTAGAAAGTTTTGACTTTATTGAAGTTTTTTGTTTCTGTGTTTATCCCATCTTTTTACTATTTTGAACTAGTTGATAAGATACCTCAAATGCTGCAATTTAAATATTTCATTCTTTTCTTAATTATTTTTCTCAAAATACAGCTATTTATGCTAGCACAAGGGTAAAAACAACTTGTTTAGTAAATATATTTGATTTGGATGGTAAAAAGAAAATTATGAGATAAATTTAATTATATAGAAATGAAGTTTACAAATATATTTTGTTGTATTTTATAATAGAATGCATATAAAATATTTTCAGAAGCTATAATTTTGGCAATTATCTATTCGTTGACAGTGAAATTAAAGTAATAATTAACTGTTCTGCTTTTAATCCATAAATTTTCCAAATTATTCTAGACAAACTATTATTCAAATCATTACCAATTTTCATTACAGATTATGTGAATCACAAAGAGACTTATTTATAGTTTTTTAAATCATGATATGATATGATATGAAACTGAGTGAACTATTATAAAAGTCCCAAGTTTTAATTTTAGGAAAAGAGAGATAGAAGAGAAGGTATGTGCCAGGAAATTAAAGCCTTCTTTGTTTTCCAAAGTGTATTTGCTTTCCTTGTTTGTCCTTTAGAGCTAACATTTTACCACCAATTATTTCCTCTTATTTGGTTTGGCAGTTAATGGACCATTTGAAGGCAGGAATTGAAGACGTGTGTGGCCAATGGAGTCATTACCAAGTGAGAGATAAGTAAGAAGCCTTAGAGTTTCTGGCATTGGAATTGTTGGGTATTTGCAATATGAAACCTCAAAAGCTTACATCAGAACTTTAAACTAAAGTTGTAAATATTCCAGATCAAGAGAATCAAAGATTAAAGGGTCTTAGAGCTATGGCATAAAGAAAGCAAGTGGGAGTTCTGGAGCTGGAACTACTGAAAATGAATAGTTATCATTGGAAGCAACGATACAGAGAACTAGGTTGCTTCACAGAGAACCAACAAAATCAATGAATAAAAGTGAGACAAGAATTTCAGTTAAGACAAAAGAGAATCTCTACCATTGAATGACTAGCCCCATGAGACTGAAAAGGGAGTTGGTGACTCATGAGAGGTCTTTAAGGAGGCATTCCTTGGCTGTAATGAAAGTCATTCTCACATAATGGTTTTCCAACAGTCTCTCTTGTTGACTACATTTTACATTCAGAGTTCATTCTTTTCCCATCTAGTTTATAAGGATGTTTCTCAGTTATGTGGTTTCTAGAAGACTTCCACTGAAGATGACAAAGATTAGAACTTTGGAGTTTTGTTTAGGTATCAGGAGGATGCAGGAGTTTGCACTAGCTTTGATAACCAAATGGAAGGAGCTTTCATTCCAGGCCTGTTTCACTCTAAGGCTGGCATTCTAGACCTCAAATTGTTGATGTCAAGATCTTCAAAAGATTATCTATTATGGAGTTATTATTCTAAAAGAGAATCTGAGCTCATTTGAATGGAATCTTTTTCATGAGGTAGAAAGGATAGTTATAGAAGTCCTGGTGTTGTGAAAGTCAAATTTAAATTATGTAAATACTCACTGATTTGGAATTTAAGTGATGAGCTTTACAATTTCCAAATCCTATAGTTCCCCCAATGAAAAATGATTTAATATTGTTCCATTGGCTAAATCTATACCTAACTTCACTTTGGGGAGTTGGAGTTTGGGCCACACCTGGAAGTTCTGAGGTTAATCCAGCCTCATTGTTAGAAGTGACTCTTGGCAGTGCTCTGGGGACCACCGAAATAGCAGGGGATTAAACTGAAGCTTGCTGCATGCAAGATGAATACTTTATCTCTTGTACTCTCTCTAGGTTCTCATATCTAATTTCCTAAGGCATATGTCAAGAGATACAAGACACATGAAGTGCTATAATGTTAAGAACTCAATGTTCTTAAAATAGGGTACAGGAGGTTTGGAGGAAAAGAGTAAAAGATAATGAATAAATAGTTATTAATATGGGATATTCCATAACCAAGACAAATGTTTCAAATTATTATAGTACATAAATGGGAGTGAGTTTGGAAAATAAATTATTCCTTCAAGCAAAGAAGAATATAAGATGACCAAGCAAGTAGTGCTGTATTTTAATACTCAGAGGCAAGGAAAATTATTTTGGAGACAGACTGGTATAGTGAGACATGACTGAAAAGTAGAGACATGTTCTTACAGCACAGTGTGAAGGAGTTCTATATATCAGTTATGCCCTAAAGTTCTATTTGACATTCTAAGGAAATGTCATTCTAAGGAAAACTTTCAAATAGAAGAGTAGTGTGAGTATACTCAGCTATTAGAAAAAAAAAAACAGCAACAATGAAGCGAAAGTTGAATTAGGGGCAGGTATTAAAGGAATTTTAACATAGAAGTAAGAATGTTTTAATAAAACTATCATCATATAGGTGGAAAATAAGATAGTACCTAGCTGTTTTCTGTAGCTTACATAATTTTATTGAGTTCTGTTTATTACTACTATTCTCATTTTAAAAACTGAGGAAACCAACTTCAGTGAGTAAATGTACCTGTTTCACCATAAAACTTTCATCTGAATTGAGATTTATTTTGAACTTCTCTCCCTTGTTCAATAGAACAGAGAGTTTCCAAGCTAGTGATGATAAGAAAATAGCAGAAAGAATACTGAAATATTTCTGAGACTAACACAGAGTCCTACTCCAGACTAAAGGTGAGGAAAGGGAGGATGATAATGACTCAGGTTTTTTAAGTAGGAGCCTAGTGAAAAAATGATACTAAATGTATAAGCTTTGGGTGATGCTTGGATTTAAGCAATGCCTTCTATATCCTATATCTCAAATATGTAATTGCTCCCTTTTGGAATATAGTCTCAAGTTTAGGAGGAAGACTGTAAATGGAGATAGAAGATGTAAACGTAAATGTCAGTGTTTGCTACTTAAAGTCATGGATATGGGTGAAATATCTGCAAGGGTAAGAAGAAGTGAAGCTGACTGAGGGCAGGTATCTAAGAAGCTGACACTTCCACAGGGCAGTTAAGAAAGAGATAAGGCAGGAGAAACGTGGAAAAAGTCACTAGAGGGACTAGAAGAGAAATCTACCTAAATCATGAATGGAGGGCTCAGAGGAAATTGTCCCATGGTATAATCAGGCGATGCCAACTGACTAGCAGGACTAGGAAAATGGCAATCACTGTGCTGAACAATGCAAGATCACAGGTGAGTTCTGATATTTGGCGTGATTTATTACAGAGGATTGAAGAATACACAGAAACCAGAGCCTCTCCTTAAAGAAAGCAGAAAACTCAGTTCCAGGGCTAAAGAGTGACCCCAAAGGAGCAGAAGTGAAACCAATCAGACCTAAACATACTGATCAGACAATCACAGTCTACTGAACCCAGCGGCGACTTGTCTGATAATGAACATCCATCCACCCACGAGTTTTATGTTCCCCTCCAGGAATTAAAAACAATAATAATAGAAGGAAGCAGACAAATTATTCTTTGAATGTAAAATGATTGCCAAGTGTCGAAAATTTCAACTCTAAACAAATGGTCGACTTTGAAGGCATGGAATGCCTACGTGCAGCTCACTTTAATGGGTCAGCCAGGGGTTCACTACAATAGTCAGTGGCCATCAGCGTCTAGTCTATTTAGTCTCCATCATTCATACGTGGGTTCTCCTCCCCTTCCCTTAATTGGCAGGATTCAAAATGATCTGCAACATAATGGGACAAAACTACTGTAACTACTGGGCCATTTAAAGTTATTGGGTTCTGGCTGAATAGTCCAGTATTACTGTAAGTGCAGCTGCCACTGTTCTGAGCTATTAGAATGGAACACTTGTTTCAATAGCCTCAACCCCCTCATTTCTGCTCTTAAAATTGGAGCTGGGCTGGCCTTGTTCTCCCCCACTCCCCACTTATGCACACTTTTTGCCCTGATTGCAGCTTGTCCCTTTCTTTTGTTTAGTTGATTTTCAATGTATTCAGGCCAGTAGGCCATTCTTTCTTATTTAAAAAAGATGCAGAAGTTCTTAAAAAATGTTTTCAATGGCTATAAATTCAGGCACTGGTCTATTGTTGCTGATGTTGTTTATTCAGAATAAAGTTAAATAGTAGGCTGTTTTAAGAAAAACACTCACTTGCATACTACATACAGAAACTTGAAAATGTTAGTCTTCTTCATTTTTAGGTTCAAAAAGTTTGATCATAAATATTTAAGGAAAATACTAATCCGAAAGAACCTGCCAAAGTCAAGCATTGTTTCATTGTATAAGAAGCTGGAAATGAAGCAAGCTATTGAGATGGTCGAGACAGGAATACTGAGTTCTACTGCCTTTTCCATACCTCATCAGTAAGTCTTGCCTACTCTTAGAACCGAACTTTGTCAAAATTCCAGAAGCACAACCCCGTTGTTCTGTTCAAAGATAATAATTGTAAAAAAATAGAAATATGAGAAATCATTTTTCAAAAAATTCTCAACCTGTTCTGTCTAATTTCTGAAAGCTATTTTCTAGCAAAAGTTCCCTACATATAATTGTATGACGCCTTGGAAAGAAGTGGAAAGTCAATTTAAATAATTATTTTTTTTGTACTTTATCTTCCTGATTAGCATTATCTACTCTTTGCTCTCTTCATTTGGTTCTACCGTTCTTGTCATTTAATTTCCCACATGCAGTCTTTTCTCTTGAATGTGAAATGAAGACCTTTGGTCCCTCCTGTGTTGTTAACTTGGATTTGTGGACAAGAGTTGACAGCAAGAGGTTAAAGTGGTTATTGAACCATTGAAATAGAAAATTCATTTTCTTAGTCTTGATCTGTGCAAGAATTCAACTTTTGCCATAAGACAAGGTTTTGTGGAGTCAATTTTGGAACAAGAGCAAGGGAGGGGCTGGTGTCTTGTAGAACAGACAATCTAAGGGAGTTGAGTGACTATAGAGTCCGTTTTTGTGGAAGCATCTAGGAACCAATTGTCCCAAGAGCTGGTTAAGTAATTCTTAAAGCAATTTCACTTTCCACATTTAACAAGAGCACCTTCAGCATCACAATAATTAAATCACTTTTCAGAGATACCCAGCTATCCTCCAAGAAATGGTTCCTGAATGGAGAAGATTGGTCATCGGGTATATATTTAGGATAAGGAAAACAATCACACCCTGTTTCTTCAGCCGGCACTGACACTTAATCATGAGCTTCAATTATATTCTCAGGTTTGAAAAGCAACTTGAAATAAATGCTAAAATTAGACAGCAATAAATTGTCACCAATACCTGAGTGCTATTTTTCATCTTATACTTGCTAATGAATCAAAATCTGCCAACCCCCTTTTCACCTGGCCTAGGAAAGAATGAAATCAATATCCTGAGGACATAGTTCTTAAACAGAAAGTTTCTTATATATATATATATATATATATATATATATATATATATATATTGCTCCCATCTGACTAAGTGAATTTCTGACTAAATGTGACTTTTTAAATAGCCCATAGGAGGTTATCTTAAGTTTCTAATACTTTCGTTCTATTCACTACTTAGTGTAGGAAAAAAATAGTAATAAAATGGTTTGTAAAGAAAAAAAGTGTGGGAGCTGGAGCGATAACACAGCGGGTAGGGCATTTGCCTTGCATGCAGCTGACCCGGGTTCGAATCAGCATCCTATATGGTCCCCTGAGCACTGCTAGGAGTAATTCCTGAGTGCAAAGCTAGGAGTGACCACTGAGCATTGCCGGGTGTGACCCAAAAATCAAAATAAAATAAAATAAGCAAAAAAAAAAAGTTTCTTGCATTAGCTATAGGTGAGATTGGTTTTCTTGGTACTGCCCATTAAATGACTTTTAAGGAAACTTACAATATTAAAATACAAATGTACTAAAAAATATTTATTGGCAATTCTGTGCTGGGTTATTGTAGAAGCAAAAGAAAAGTCAACTAATACTAATTTTAGTTTTTTCAATTTTGAATTTTTTAAAAATTTTTTTCCATTGTGAATTTTTTATTGACCCTTATTTTTAAAAATACAACATTTAGTGTTTGGAGATATAGGGCAGCACCTATGGTGCTTGTCTTGAACACAGCCAGCCTAGGCTTGTTCCATGACATTCCATATGGTCCCCAGACTATCGCCAAGAGTAAACCCTCAGTGCAGATTCAGGAGTAAGCTCTGAACATTATTGGGTGCAGCTCCAAAACTAAACTAAAATAAAAATAACTACAGTTAAATGTTTCTTGATTATTGATTTGAGCAGCCCCATTAAGAACTGTGTAATGAATTCCTCATCTATGCCCAGCCAGTTTCTTGGACACTAAATGTGCTGTGATAGATTTTGTGCCCTGGGGGAATTCACTTTCTAGCAGGGGTATCACATTAATGAAAAAAATAAGTGTAGCTTAAATATACCATCATAAAGTCTAGGGGACTGAGTGAGTATAAGTGGCAAACTTTATTTGGTCTCCAAATGTTGACCTGCTCTTGAATGGTGAATGAGAGCTCAAAGAGATACCAGAAGACTAGGTAGAGTCAGGCTGTGTGGGCTATTAGGGGCCTCGTCAAATGACCTACTTACCAGTGACATGAGAACTTGGTCTAGGAATGTCAAGGCACTTATCTCAAATGAAAATCAGTTAATCATGTGCTTAAAACATATCTTGAATCTCTGTATTATATTGCATCAACCAAATGTAATTTCCCCAACTTCTGAGCACAAGAGAAATTTTTCAAGTCAGTTATTTAGAGAACTCTCATCTTTTTTTTTTAGATATCTATTCCAGATTAGTAAGAGAGTATTAGCATTATAGATTAGAAATCATTGTTTTTCTCTTAACTCAAACAAATTAGTTAACTGAGATGAGAGAGGAGATATTTAAAATTGATACGTAATACAAGTTTAGTATTTGAATTACGTATTTTGATCTCATCAGAAAACTGGAGGCATTAAGCCAAAAGGAATTCCTCTCCTAAGATGAGAGTGGCCAATTCCTTAAAGTATAGACTTTCATACAAGAATGGAAAGAAAAGTATACACTAAACTGATTATTTTATATAAAATAAAATGTACTTATTTTCTTTCTTTAGATGATAAAGTAACTTTCTACAAGATGGTAAGACATCTGTGCCCTTCAGGAGATTATCACCTTCAGAGATTGTCCATCCATAGTGGATGCATTTGATTTTATGGAACTCCATTATTATACACATGTTTTTATTTTACACCCTCAAACAATCCTGTAAATTAGAAAAGATATAATAAATTATTTATTGTTATTTTAAATATAAAAAAATTTTACCAATGAATATTAAGTTCCTAAAAAATCAGACTAAGTATGCTAAAATTCTAAAATATATGTAGTTATTATTAAAGGAATAGTGAGTTTTTATAAATCTACAGGTATAAAAAATTGTAGCTATTTAACTTTAAAATAATTTAAAACTCCCCCAAGTTTTGACCTGTAGTTTATTAAAATGAATAATTATTAGCTTAATGAAGAATTAACCTTATTTATGTTTAAATTCATCACATATTAACAGTCACCAGCTTACATTTATACATTTTTATACTAAAAACTCTGAAATGAAGATTCTACTACTATTTTTCATTCCTATAGTGAAAGAGTTCTTTTGGGAAGAGCTAAGGACTCTTTTCTATCACTCCTTACTTATTTTATTTGATATCTTGGTGGCCTTAGAAAGTGGCAACCAACTGCATATAGGAAAGTTGATAGCTGCTAGTGTTTGCTCAGTGAACATATTCTGGCATATGTTTTCCATGGATTTCCTCTACAAAGCTATTAGAGAGGTAGCGTTCTAAATGAATCACAGTATAGTATACTATATTTTGAAGAATTCATATTATGGCATGAAAATGATCTCTATTCGATCTCATATCTGCATTGCTATGTTTAGGACCATAAACTGTTTACATTATATTATATTATCTGTATTTTTTAAGATTAAAATGTGCAAAAATTTTTCTTAAATGCATTTAGATTCATATTTTGTCAGTTTTTTGTTTATTTATTTTTACTTTTTAGAGCAGGAATATTTACTAAACTGGAAATACTTTCTTCTTTTTATTTGACAAAGTTTTTTTTTAAATTGAGTCACTGTGTAATACAGTTTTAAAGCTCTCATGATTGAATTTCAGTCATACAATGATCAAACTCCCATCCTTCCACCAGTACATTTTCCACCACCAATGTCTGCAGCATCCCTCCCACCACTCCCACCCCACCCCCAACCCCACCCCTGCCTCTATGGCAGACAATTTCCCCCATACGCTCTCGCTACTTTTGGGCTTTATGGTTTGTAATACAGATACTGAAAGGCCATCATATTTGGTCCTTCATCTACTTTTAGCACACATCTCCCATCCTGAGCGATCCCACCAATCATCATTAACTTAGTGTTCCTTCTCTATCCCAGATGCCTTCTCCCCCAGCTTGTGAGGCAGGCTTCCAACCATGGACCAATCTTACTGGCCCTTGTCTCTGCTGTCTTTGGGTATTAGTCTCATGTTATGTTATTTTATACACCACAAATGAGTGCAATCATTCTATGTCTGCCCCTCTCTTACTGACTCTTTTCACTTATGAAGATACTCTATGTCCATCCACTTAACAAACAAATTTCCTGACTTCATCTTTCCTAAAATCTGGATAGTATTCCATGGCGTAGATGAACCATAGTTTCTTCAACTAGTCATCTGTTCTTGAGCACTCGGGTTGTTTCCAGATTCCGTTTATTGTGAACAGTGCTGCAATGAATGTACAGATGCAGATGTCATTTCTACTGTGATTTTTTGCACCCCAGGGATATATTCCCAGAAGTGGTATTGTGGGCCATATGGGAAGAGAAGAAATCAACAGAAACTTCCTCAAAAAGAAATAAAGGACCAAAGGCACATAAAAAAAAATGTTCTTCATCTCTAATCATCAGAGTGGTGCAAGTCAAAACAACAATAAGATATCATCTTACACCACAGAGACTGGCACACATCAAAAAGAGCAAAACCAACCAGTGCTGGCCTGGATGGGGGGAGGAAGGGATTCTCTTTCATTGTTAGTGGGGATGCTGATTGGTACAGCCCTTCTGGAAAACAATGTGGGCATTCCTCAAAAAAACTAGATAATTATTTATATATATCTTTGTTGGGGGGGGGGGGAGCGATAGCACAGCAGTAGGGCGTTTGCCTCGCACGCAGCCAACATGGCCGACCCGAGTTCGATTCCTCCGCCCCTCTCGGAGAGCCCGGCAAGCTACCGAGAGTATCTTGCCCACACGGCAGAGCCTGGCAAGCTCCCCGTGACATATTCGATATGCCAAACACAGTAACAACAAAGTCTCCAATGGAGACGTTACTGAGCCCGCTCGAGCAAATCGATGAACAACGGGAGGGCCTTTACTTTACTTTACTTTTGTTGGGGGGCTGCATCTAATGGTGCTTAGGGCTTACTCTAAGCTCTGTGATCAGTGATCACTCCTAGAAGTTCTTGGGTTACTATCTAGAGTTACAAGGATTGAACCAATGTATGTTTGATTTTAATAGCCATGGAATTACCACAAAACTCTCACAGAAGGCAACGAACATTTATTTTCTGGATAATGAATACATATTCCTGTAATACGCTTTTAGTTTATAATATTATCTGTTTTTTAACCTAAAAGTAATTTTATAAGGATTTTGATTTTTTTCCATCATGATGTGATCATTTCATGGATGATTTTAATAAAGAAGTAAAAGCTCCATATATCACTTTTCCCAAGCTAATTTTTCCCCATGTGAATTGACAATCATTTCTAGGGTAGAAACGTTGCCTTTGGGAGGTTTTCTTTACTCAGCCAGGAAACTAAATGGACTTTTTTGAGTCCAAGTACTTCTCAACGTGGTCAGTTATTGACAGGGGAGAATTTTAAGCGAGGTCTACTTCTTTCTCATTTAATCTTGCCATTTCCTTCACCAATCAATTGTATGCAAACATATAGAAAATGAACTATATGATTAGCTGCTGTTTCAGTTCAGAGCTAGCTTAGTTATATCTATATAATAAAAGGCTGTGGTCAGGTTGTGTTAATATCTGGGTTGTCCAGATGAATTTTTCTTGAAGAATATTTAAAAAGTTGGGTTGAAATGTCCTGATAATAATGTTTATATCACCAAGGGTAGTAACTGAATACTAAGTGTTGACATTTCTAGCTCTGAGATATGAAAACTCTGATTTCAATTAATTTCCAAAAGGTCATCAGTCAGCCTCTAGATAGCATTTGCAAAGTAAATACTGGCCTACTCTGATATCCAGTATCAAAACCCTTAACATTTTCTACACATTGTTGTATTAGTTATAAAATGTCCTTGCTACTTGTGTCTGAATCACTGTTAATATGGCAGAGGTGGATCATAATCATTAAATTTGGCTTTGATTTAAATGATCTCTGTGGTCAGTTGCTCTAAGAGCTTTCATGATCAGAGAGCAGTGGGGATGGCAGTAGAGAATGCATGCCCTGTGCTTTCACCAGAGCTGCAGCTAAAAAAGAAAAGAACTCAAACTCGCTGAAAGTTTCTGCCAGAATGTTAAGGGGAAGTGAAGAGCATTGTATTAGAGAATGATTTCAATTTTTTTTTCGTTTTCTTTTTTCAGTTCTTATGATCCACAATGAACAAGGATATCTTGTTCCTACAATAATGCATTTTTAGAAATGACACTAGATTTAAATGACTGAAATTGGGGCCGAAGTAATAATGCAGAAGGAAAGATGTTTGCCTTGCACATGCCTGACCCGGGATCAATACTGGGCACCACATATGGTCCCCACTGAGTACTACCAGGAGTAATCCCCACACAAAGCCAGGAGTAAGCCCTCATCACTGCTGATTGTGGTCCCCAAACAAACAAACAAAAAAATAGATTTTATATAAACCCGGCAAGCTACCGAGAGTATTCGATATGCCAGACACAGTAACAACAAAGTCTCCAATGGAGACGTTACTGGGCCCTCTAGAGCAAATCGACGATCAACGGGACGGCCTTTTGCCTTTACCTTATATAAACCAATGAGAAACTTCTCAAATCTCACAAAGCACCCCTGGAGAAACCATTCTAATGAAACAGTCTAGTTTCTCTTGCAAATCAAATTGCTCCTCTCTTAAAATCATTCTTTAAATAAATACCAAATCCTGAAAGGGAGATTTTCTTATTGTTCTGTTTTGTTTTGTGACCACACCCATCAGTGCTCAGGGATGACTTCTGGTGGGCTCCAGCAACCATATTGGATACCTACAATCAAAACTGGGTCAGCTGTGTGCAAGGCAAGCACACTATCAGCATTACTACAGTTCTGGCCCTAACAGGATATTTTTAAGATGAACATCCTCATAAATATACTTACTAAACTTTCATTCTTTGTTAGATCACTTCTAGTATGGTATGGGGATGGTGTTGTCCAAAAGCATTTTATCACTTGTTCATGGTGAAATTATTTTAGATATAACCAAGAATTAGCTTGCACTGAGTGATTTTATTGCATATGGTTTGCATTTTATGGTACCCTTTTAAACATTTATTTTTCAACAATTATTTCTTTTCTTTGTTTAGTTTTTTTTGTGTTGTTGTTGTTTACACTCAGCTGTACTCAGAGTTTACTCTTGGCTCTGTGCTCAGGGATTATTCCTGGGGGCCTTAGGGGGCCATTTGTGGTGACGGGGATCAAACCCTGGTAGGTCACATGCAAAGCAAGTATTATTTTTCCAGTCTCCAACTATATGTATATGCCTTTGTGAAATATTATATATATTTATATATATATAATATTTCACAAAGGCATCTGTTCGTAACACATAGGTGGAAGAAACTGGTTTGTCACTTACTTAAACTCTGCTTTGAAAAGGAGTTATAAAAATTCCCACATAATATCTGTAGTCATAGCAAACACATTTTTAGTGGGGGGGGAGTTTGAGCCATACCTGGCTGAGCTCAGGGCTTATTCCTATCCCTGTGCTCAGGGCTCACCCTTGGCAGTGACCATATGAAATGTTCAATTAGAAAAGACAAGCCCATACCATATACTAATTCTATGGTTCAAAGAAACCACATTTTTAAAAATGTAAGTCAAGGTGCCAGAGAGATAGTACAGTGGTTAAGGCGCTTGCTAGCTATGCATGTGTCTGATGAGGTTTGATCCCTGGCACTACATATGGTCCCCAGAGTTCACCAGGAATGATTCTTTAGCACAGATCCATGAGTAAGACCTGAGCACAGCCAGGTGTGAGTCTTCCACCCCCATCTTGCTACTTTTTTCCTTTAAAAAATAGTAAGTCAATAAATATATACTGGCATTTCCAGAGTACAGTGAGTACAGTGGTACAGTGAGTAGAGTGTTTGCCTTGCATTCCATTTGGTCCCCTGAGTACCACTGGGAGTAAATTCTCAGTGCAGAATGAGGAGTAATCCCTGAGCATCAACCCTCCAAAAAAGAGACATACATACTGACATTTCATATGAATTTTCTTAAATTGTGAGGTTTATGTAAATACAAGGATTTGGGAATGTAGAACTTAAGCATATTGATCCTCTTGTGTCATTCTTGACAAGGTTGAAGAATAATGCTTGACTTTTCTGTTTCCCAGGGCCCAACGAATACAAAGAATCAAAAGGCTTTCCCCAGAAGATGTGGAGTCCATGAGGGAAATTCTGACACATAACATGTACCAAGTCCGACAAAGGGTATGCATAAACTACCAGATATGTCCCAAATGCCTGTATTTGGAACCAGCCCCTCAGTAAAGTATTCTTGCTTATATTATGTTCTCTAGTACAGTCTTCTTGCTGAAGAATTTTTCATGTCTTAGTCTGAAGAACAGGGAGCTTACTGATATGTTTCTGCTACCAAGTTGGAATCTACGGTGTATAAAGAAGTGCAAATCCAATTGTTGACCCTAGGGGTCAGGCTGTCCTAGTCCAGCAGTCTAGTGCTTTCCAGAACCAGCAGGTCTCTTCTGCCTCTCTCCAGAGGTCAATTGTGGAGTGTGCAAGAAGATGACACCAAGATGTCTATCAATGGCTAGATATTGAGAACTAGTTGTCTAATTCTTAGGTAAGCATATTAAAACTGTAATGCCAAAGGCTTAAATAAAAGGAGATATATTAGGTATATTATTTTTCTTTTTTGTAAAAAGGTATACAGTCTATATCAGCACTTGAGAGCTGACCCAAAGTACAGAGTAAGATCATTTCCGGAGGCAGGTTACATTCTTCTGAAACTCTGATTTAGTAAATTTTATTTAACCTTACATCCACTAAGAGTATTTTTTTCCCAAGTGTGAGCATTCAGTAGACGAGAGAGATAGTACAGGATATAAGGTATTTTCCTTGCATGTAACCAAACCTGGTTTGATCACCAGCTCTGCACATTGTCCCTCAACTACTTCTAGGAGTGATCTCTGAGCACAGAGCCAGGGGTAAACTCTGAGCACTCTTGGGTTTGACCTAACCTCTCCAATTTCTACTGACCCCTCAAAAGTGGGTGGGTTCAATTGTTCCCCACCAATTCTGTTTTCAGATGGAATTTTAAAAAAAGTAATCTAGTTAAGTCATGTAGGTAAAAAGACCTCAAGTTCAAATAGAATCTGCTGAAGTTAGGAAAGCTGATTAATCTGACTTATTGAAGGTTACAAAACCAACTCAAGTCAAAAACTTAGGTCTTCTAACCATTCACCAGCGTTCCTTCCATGTCTTGAGACTTCTTTAAGCCAGTGAAAGGTTTCAACTTCCGGGTTCAGAAATGTTTGTGAAATGCTTTGCAACTGCTGACAGACTAGAAGTAATCATCAGTCACAGCACACTTAAAAGAAATGTGACAGCTTTCAAATCATTCCAAGTGAAACAGTTTCAGTAAGACTATCACTTTCTGCCTTTGATAAATAGCATCGAGTTTCCTGGTTTGTAGAGTGGCAGCTAGTTTAGTAAAAGTCACAGTCACAGTCACAAACAGACTTACATGGAAATGCATATGCTAAAACACAAGTGAAGCACCAGAAACCACCAAGAAGACTCTGGTCCTAGAGCTTTCCTCTCCTGACAGGAAATTTATCCTTGTCATGTACCAACCAAACAAGGGTCTATGTATAAATTAATGACAAAGTTTAATCTCTTTTGCACTTTTTATTAAATAATGAGAAATTTAATAGTAATAAGAGTTAGCATTTTCTTTTCATAACAAGGATTACCTTGTGCATACCATGGAGGCATCGTCCCCACTTGTCCAAGACTTGTCTCAGATTCCTTCTGATCCTCTCACTTTATTTCTCTTCACAATGTATCAGAAAACTTCATTCTTCTTTGGTATCAAATTTCTAGCTTTGTTCCAGTGGTAAATTCTGACTCCCCGTTAAGTTATTTCATGTCAGAAATAACTGCTGACATGTTCTCTTCCTGGAGGAATATCCTTGCATATTTCAAGATTCAGCTCAGTGCAGTGCACCTTTGAAGACCAAAATTCTAATGAATATGTTTAAATTCTGTAATATCAGGTACATAGAGCCTTGGATATGTTGCTGCTGAATTGAATAATGAAAGATCTATTAACCAGGAAGTGTCCTGATACTATAATTTAATGGGATCTACTGGCCAATGAGTTAGAGTATTTGCTAGTGAACTCTGAATGGAAAAAAAAAAAAACGAGGCGGGGGCGGGGGGGGGGAGGAGAAAATCTTCCACTATGGTGTTTTGCAGGCAATGTGTCCAAGCACTGATGATCTATGACATAGGACAGGTATCTTAGAAAAAGACCACTAGGGAGCAAGTGGAAAAGCTCAGATGGAGGACTTTGCTCTGCCTTTCTGAGGCAGTAGTGCCACGACAGATCTGTCCTGATGTGGGGTGGGGGGAAATCTGTTAAAGACCTCTTTCAAGGGTTCCAGTCTGTCTTTCTATAATTGAGGGAAGTGCTCAGATGATCTCTGATAGCCAAGTACTCCAGCACTTTTAATTCGTGAGCTTTTTATGGCCTTGCATGGGTACTGCTCCTGTATATTTGACATTACGTTCTTTCTACAGACACTGTCTTACAACAAATACAATCTCAAGCCACAAACAAGTGAGAAGCAAGCGAAAGAGATTCTGATTCGACGCCAGAACACTTTACGAGAGAGTATGAGGAAGGGCCACAGCTTGCCATGGGGAAAGCCGGTAAGATGGACCAGGCCAGAGATGGTTTACTCAGTTTCCCACTATCTCCATATAAATAAAGGCTGGTTTCTGGCCAAAAACAAAACTAAGAGAGGGTGCAGGACAATGCCAAAGCCAGTCATTGAGTTTGGGATCTTAGAAATCAGAGACATTTTTCCATGGGGTATGTGGCAGCAAACTGTTTTCAGGTTGGTTATAAATGAAGACTGTTTCTAGGCTAAGTCTAAACCAGACTCTGGTGGACAGGAACAGAGAATTCTGTGGAAATTCCATGTACTATGCAAGTGGTTTGTAGAAAGTTTCTCACACAGGCAAGTATGTTCTCGCCATAAGTCTTGGGTCACAACCTCCTATAAGTTATCCTGCATTGCATTATTGGGGCCACATCAAATCAATCTTCCTGAGACTTCTGGATGGCAGAGAGATCTGGAGTGAGCCGAATCTGAGAGGAACTGTAGGAGCAATTTTTTAGCTAATGATTTATTCTGTCAAAAGAGGTAAAGAAAGTATATGCATAAAACATTCACTTTGTTTAAATAAAAGTAACTGAAAATCTGAAATCTGAACAAGATATTGCCCTGTTGGTCTGTGTCCTTCACTCATTTAAATGTCTTGTCATGTTATGAATTACCGCAGCTGACTTTGCTTCTTATTTCTACTTGTTACTCACAGACTGGTCCCAAAAACATCCGCTACCTCTCCTTCCCCTATAGTAACCCTCAGTCAGCAAGAAGAGATGAGAGAATTGCTGAATTCACAGGTAACTTTAAAAAAATTTTAATTGAATCACAATGAGATACTTAGTTACAAAGTTGTTCATGATTGAATTTTAGTCATATAATGTTCTAACACCCATTCCTTCACAAATGTACATTTCCCACCTCCAATGTCTCCAAATTCCTTCTATATCGCCATTTCTCCTGCCTGTTTCCATGGTAGGCTCTCTCTCTCTCTCTCTCTCTCTCTCTCTCTCTCTCTCTCTCTCTCTCTCTCTCTCTCTTCTCTTTTTCCCCTTTTGGGCACTATGCTTTGCAATACAGATTTTGAAAGTTTATCATACCCCTTTACTACTTTCAACACTCAGTTCTTGTCCAGAGTGATCATTTCTATTATTGTTATGTTGGTCGGTCTCTTCTCTATACTAACTGCCCTTCTCACAGGTAACTTTAAGAACAAACCTTAAAAAAAACTTCAAATTTTTATCCATTATTCTTAATGGGTTTAAAAGAATATTCAGGGTTAGACTGAGGTAGACTTTAATGTGTGTCTGGGCACACTTTTTCGCCAAACTTGCCCTCTTTCTGTGCCAGGACAGTTCGGGAATGGCCACGGGTTTAAAGAAGAGAAAATAGTGAGCATGTTCCTCCTACGAGAGGAACTAGCTAACATGGCTGTCACCTGGAGATCACATTCCTTCCTCATCCAATTCCTTGTCTTCTGGTGCCTGGAGATTGCTTATTCCAACTGTTGCAATAAGCTTATTTGGTGTTGTATACAGGGCTTACTTGTTGCTGTAGCAGAGACCTCCTCTCAGGGCACTTCTGTGCCCCAAGACTTCTTACAAACCACGTGATTTGAGACAAATGAAAATATTCGGTAGGTGGCATTTCAATGATGTCATTCCAAGTGTAGTTGTATTTAATCATTAAAAGTAAAGTTGTCGAAAATGTTTAAGTTTTACAGCACAAACTTAGCATGTGCTAAAGGCCCTGAGCATTATCACTGGTGCTAAATAATGTGATCTGTATTTGAAAAGAAACAAGCTAACAAATAAACAACTCCCCAAGGGTTTCTGCCATGCCTAATGAAAACAAACCCTGAACTATGGTCTTAAAATCATGAACTGAAAATACTAAGTTGTGGTAGGGTGGTGGGAAAAGGACCTTGGGATAATGGGGGAAGAGAACGTAACATGGAGTGAGGCATTCTATGCAGCAGTACTGTAAGTATAAAACAATAAAATCAGTATTGTGGTAAACTACAATGCCTCTAATAAAAAAAAATCAAACAAAATCTGGGACTGGATGGAGTATACAGTATAGCATGGAAGGCAGTTATCTTGCACAAGACTGACCTGGGTTCAATCCCTGGCATCCCATATGGCCCCTCGAGCTCAACCAGGAGTGAAGACCCCAAAAAGCAAATCTTATCCTTCATATATTTTGCCTCTACAAAACAAATGGGAGTGGAAAAGGGTTCCTGGATATCTATTTGAATTTCACCATTTAGATTCTTCCCTTTCCAACAGAAATAGTTTCCCTGTTTCTTTTTCACCCCTGTCTAAAAAACTAAGGTGCTGGTTCAGGTAGAAAATAACAAAACCCAATATTCATATTTTACTGCAGAGGTCTCCGTTGAGTGCTCCCTGGAAATGCCCTATCTGGGTGCTGATCAAGAGAAAGATCGTACAAATGGGCAAAGCTCAGGTCCCTCTTCCTTTCTTCTTCCTCCTTCCACGTTTCAGTCAACTTTTCCTCATATTTTGGACAGATTTAGTGAATTAAGTTGGGTGAACCTTCAAGTCAATTGTCCAATCCTATTCCTAGCTCTTTAAACTCACTTGTCAATTAACAAGAAAATAAGACTTGACTCTCTTTGCTGTCAGGAGGGTAAGCTCATAAAGGTTGGCAAGAAACCGGAAGGCTTTTGGGGGTGGGGGGATGGTAATAGAAAGGTATAACTTGAGGGTAGAAGCATTAGGCCATTGTTATCCTAGGTAATGTTTCCAGGACCAGAGTATAGGGGGAACTCTGGTCCCAGGCCAGATCCTGAAACACAAATTAAAGGGAAGTGGCTAACAAAATAGGCAACTATTTTAATGTTATCTTTATTCAAAGCAGTTGGTTCTCTCTATCACTGCACCACCTCCAACTTCCACACTGCCTTATAAGAATACTTTAGTCAAAAATAAATAAATAAATAAATAAATAAATAAAGTCAGAGATTAAAAAAATTAAGAAGGAAAAAAATGAATACTTTAGTCACATTATTAAAAGATATAATTCAATAGGGTATTTTAAAGTTTCTGACATCACGCACATTTTAAATGCATTTTTATTAAACTAAAACTTTGGGCACATTAGTTCTACTTGTGAAGTTTTTTATTTCAATTTTTTTGGTCACACCTGGCGATTCACAGGGGCTATTCCTGGCTCTGCACTCAGGAATTACCTCTGGCAGTGCTCAGGGAACCATATGGGATGCTGGGAATCAAACCTGGGTCGGCCGGGTGCAAGGCAAATGCCTTGCCGGCTGTGCTATAGCTCCAGCCCCGCTTTATTTCAATTTTTAAAAAATATTTTGCTTTTTTGTTTTGGGGAGTAAGTAGTAAATGGGGTAGGGGAAGTGGGGAGAGGCACGAAACCCAGCTCTTAAAGTTAAATATAGAGGCCTAAAAATACTCAAATTCTTGTGGGTACATTTAAAGGTATGATAAAGGCATAAGGTGAAACTTTGAGGAAATAAGACAAAGGAAAATATTCCTTTGAAGAGAAGTGAAAAAAACAGTGTCCTGGTCACAGATTAGGTCATCTAGAGAAGATATGCTATAGTTAACTAATGATTTTCCTCAACTCCTTTTTTCTTTCATTTCCTTCTTTACTTATTAAATGAGTATCATAATGGTATTCATTTCAAAAGCTTGTTATATAGATTAAAAGGCAAATAAGTTAAGTGTTAAGTGATCAACTCAATGACAGGCAAATAATTTTTAGTGAATAGGTGTTACTATTATTATCATCCTCATTTTCATGTCCCAACCACAATCTGCTCACTCTCATATCTTCTTTGATAGGAGATCATCTATCTAGGTTTCCTACTAAACACTACGTTTTTGCTGTGGTGAAATATGTTCTCTGTAGCTTCAAACCTGGCTATTTTGATGTAAAGAGAAGGATAATCAGTTTTAATGCTTTTAGATAAATACTAATTAAAACTAAAACTAAAAGAAAAACTAACCAGGTGCTTATCACAATACCATGTGACATTTGTTTTAGCGTTGGTCTTAACAACATAAAGTATCTTTGTGGACCAATGCCCACAGTGAATTGGTACTACCTTACTTACTCAGAGGCGCAGTTTCTTTTCTGTACCCTCTTTGAAACAGAAACATCAAGCCATTAAGATAGTTGAGTCTGGGACTGAAGTGATAGTAGGTAGGACTCTTGTCTTGTAAGCAGCCATTCTGGGTTGAATCCTCAACAACTCTAAGGGTTCCTGAATCCTGCCAGGAGTGAGTTCTGATCACCATGTGGTGTGACCCCAAAACTAACTAACTAACTAAATAAATAAATAAATAAAGTTGAGTCTAAGAGTTGGAACCTCAGAAGGCAGACAACTTCATTCTGAGCTCTTGCTGTCTTGGTATAAAGTTCTGACTCTCATCTCAAACCATGTTATTTCTTTTCCTTGTCATGTTTCCTTAGATAATGAAAGCAGTGATTCAGAATTATTGTCCATTATGTTCAACCCACACTCTCGGACAGAGTCACATCAAGTAAATCAACTGACACAAGAAATCATTCCAATGAAGAGTTTACACAGAAGAGAGAAACCACCCAACTTTGGCTATCGAAGAAATGCAAGCCTGGAAGAACATGTTGCAGGAGGTAGAAGGGTGGCTATAAGGCCCAGACCACTCTTTCATGCAGTAAGTGAGGAGTATGAGTCTGGAGAGGAAAGTGAGGAAGACACCTCTGCAACTCGGTCAAGATGGTCTGCTGAGCACAGACACATCAGGGACCATCACAAGTCCCACAGCCCTTTGCTCCAGAGAAAATAGTTTTCTGATCCACAAGGCTGTGTATTTTCCAGAGTTCATCTTCCTAGTGAGGCAAAAGACTTTTCAGAGCTTTTCAAAAGAGAGCCCTTGAATTCACTGTTTTGGGAACTCTTAGGTATGTTTATGTAAGAGGCCAGGTAATATTTTGGAGCATTAGTGACAAGCTTGCACACTGCCCAAATTCTTTGTAGATGAACTTCTGTGAGTTATCATCTTTAGGAATAATTCACTAAGAATTTCTGATTAACCATATAATTAATTGATATATAAATTTAATTAATCAATAATTTACCTTTACTGTGTGTGCAACTCAAAATCAAGTTATTATTTGGGGGAGAGTCTTAGAAATGTCCTGAACTAATCCCCAGTGTTTGTGAATAAGACCACTTTGCTTAAGACTCTACAGGAAGTCTTTGACTCAACAAATGATTCTCCTCTATCCTGTGTGAAAACACTGATTTTGATCATCATTATGTAATTGTATATATCTGAGAGATAAAATTTGTCATATCATTGCTATACTCCTCAGGAACAATGCAAGATAGACTCATATATACTATGGAATTAATCTGTGAACAAAAGTCTTTTTAATGATTGGGTTATTTAAAAAAATTTTAAAAATAAGCAATAAACAGGCATCAATAGCAGTGACTTAAATAAAGAGTATTTATTAGATGTGTATTGTAGGATTTGATATTTCCCCCTAGGCTTTGAAACTACTTCACAATTTATTTTTTCATTTTCATCTGGCCCAAACTTGACCTTGAATTTTACACTCTAGCTCACCAACTTTGCTAGAAGGCCATAATTCTTTCTCCCTTTCTATCCTTCTTCCTTTTTAATCTCTTCTGGGAACCCGCAGATTAACACATTCTTCGCCCTTTTCCCCAGTGCTATTTTATGTGCCAAAGAACTGATCTAAAATAGTCCATTAGACAAAATGTTTTTCTAGTTGCTCTTTTTAAAATCCCTATCCCCAACTGATTTAACCCAATGCATCTTAAAAGATTCTTTTCTGATGTATGTGTTTTCCCTGAGCATCCTCCACCCAGATCCTCCAAATTCCAGTAGGCAGGGGTCACACCCACCAACTGGCCTCTGGCGCCATGTAATCCCATCAGCGGCCAAAACTCAGAGACTATAAAACCCAGCTCCCGGAAGAGAACAGCGCAGAGTCTCCTGCCCCCGCGCCTGGCTGAACTCACCGGGGCCCCTTGGAGGGGAGCGGGTTGAGTGTGCCTCCCTGCCCCGACCAGGGCTCCGGCAGCCGAAGACCTCCAGAACCAGCCACCACCATGCTGAGACCACTCTCCACATGCATGAAGGTACCGGCAAAGGAACAAAGGCATGCAGGTCCCGGGGCTGAGATCTCCAAGCCTGCTCAGATTGGGGCTGAGCATCCTCCACTCAGATCCTCCAAATTCCAGTAGGCAGGTGTCACACCCACCAACTGGCCCCCTGGCACCGTGTAATCCCATCAGCGGCCAAGACTCAGAGACTATAAAACCCAGCTCCCAGAACTGCGCGGCCGCATTTGCGGCTGCGCGACATCTTATTATGACATCTTATTATCTCATTCCTACTTTGGACAAACTGGCAGGCTACCAAATGTAACCTGCCCACATGGCAGAGTCTGGCAAACTCCCCGTGGCATACCCAATATGCCAAATACCAGTAACAATGATGGATCTCATTCTCCTAACTCTGAAAGAGCCTTGAATATGACACTCTTTTTAAAAATCTCAGGGCTAGGACGAAGGAGATGTTACTGGGGCCTGCTCAAGGCAATCGATGAATAACATGATGGTTGTGACCATGTGATCGTGTTTTCCCTAAACCTGTTCTGATCCTCTGAAATAAAATTGACCAAATGATCCCCTTCATCATTAAGTGAACCCCATACCACTTCTGTCTCAGAACTCAACCAGAAGGCAGGGAGGCAGGGAAGATTGCTTGGTTTATTTAAAATTTGATCTACTTATTAATTGGCATCACCCTCTTTTTGTTTGTGACTTTGATCAGTTACCCTCTTAGATATTCTAGTGCACTGCACATACTAAACTATAAAAGTGTATGTGAGAAAGAATTTGAAAGCTAAAAAGGATCTTAAAGGGAATGCCAGACATTTATAGTCCAGATAACAACAACAACAAAAAAAAAAAAAACACAGGATTTTGAAATGTTACCTGATGCTGCTTCAGAGTCAGCTTACCCAAAAGATGGTGACTTGTCCTCTGCTACCCTCTATGATGACTTTACCTGAAAAGAATCATATGATTTTTCCCACATTGATACCTTGCTAGCAACATTCACACTCATGTCCCCACTGTCGCAATGGTAGAGAAATGGTATATCAGATGTGAACACTTTTATTCTCTCTGAATCTGGACTATAAGGTCATATTGAAGTTTCTGAAATATTTTGATTTTAATAAAAACTTTACTATTAAATAACAGTAACTAGTTTAAAGAGAACTGAATTGAGGCCAGAGCCTTGCACGAGGCCAACAAGGGTTCAATCCTCAGCACTACATATGGTCCCCTAAGCCAGCCAGGAGTGATTCCTGATTGCAGAGCCAGGATTAACCCCTGAGCACCACTGAGTATGGCCCCAACACCGAATAATAAAAATTTCAAAAGAGATAACCTAGTTGTAAAATGCAGAGCTCTCCTTATACTTTTTAATTTACTTAAACAAACAAGCAGTCAAAGTCATGGAATTTAAAAAAAAAGTGTCCCTCGAGACTAGAGGCAGTGAGTCATAATCCTCAAGCTGTAGAGAGTAACTGAGAGACAAAGAAGGATCACAGAAGATACCTTTCCAAAGCCACCTACATCATCGTTGGTTCTTGAGAAAGAGAAATGTAACCATATCCCTGCCTGAACTCGACATAACACAAATCCAAATTGCAAAGGGTTCCTTCTAGAATGGTCAGGATCATTTCCAAACATCTGTTATTCTCAGAGTCACTGGTAACATTTGGGGTTGTTGGCATTTAAGCATGGGAACTTGCCCCTTAAATTGCTAGATGCCAAAAAGGAGTGTTTCCCAGAGGTTATTAAAATAGACACTGGCCAGTCTGCCCAAGTATGGAAAATGGCCCTGGACCTCCCGCTTGAAAGACAGGGGAGGGTGAAGCTGCTGGTAGCTTAGATAGACTTAGAGAGCTTATGGTGGACAGGGCCTCTTTGTTTCAAAATGCAAAGTGATCTGCTCTTCATTCCATCAGCTGCTACCCACTTGCAGGGTTGGTTGAGAGTGGCTGGGGAATGCGCTTGGGTTTCACATATGGAGTTTTTCCAATAAACACCAAGCAATACAGCAGAACATGTTTGCCTTGAGTGTTCAGGAAGATCTGGTTCTTTTTCTCTGTTTCTAGGGAATGGCCTTTCTGGGGTCAGGTCCACTGAACATTCCATTTTCTAAGCTGTGACAAGATTTGTCTTTTCATCTTCAACACCAAATGCTGGACATAGAAGCCAGAAAATATTAATCTCCCTCTGTATATCTTTTGTTTTGCTTTTTACTTTCTCAAATCTGTTCGTATGGCTAGTGTGATGGACCTTGGGTGAATTCTGAAGTTCAGTAGAGTCTTTTTTTCATTTATCTTGCACAATTACTTTCCACACAAAGGTTTTGCATTCTCTCTACTGTTTATAAAATAGTAAATGTGGTCTAGAGAAAATGACTTACACATCATCCCTAGGACTACTAAAAGAAGGATTGGCTGGAGAAAGGACCAGGTCATAAAGAAGAAGTTCTGATGCATGCAGGGCATACTATTATGCTTCTTTCCTGATTTTCTCTCTCAAATAGGCTGTATACTTTTGGGCTTCTCTTCTCTTTTAAAAATTATGAGGTAGACTTGGGATTACCAGCTGAAGTCAGAAATAAAACTACCATTCCTGTTAAGAGATATGTACTATGGCAGGTACATGACAGGTCTTCAGGTCTTCAGCGTAGAAAGTTGGTTTTAGCCTGTAGGCTTGAATGCCATCCAACCAGACTCCAAAATAAATGTTCATCATTCACATGCCGGACAGTCCTACAATTATTGTAACCTTTTTTAATCAATGTAATTCTGAACTCATACTCTTAAGTCAAACACTTCTTGTAGCTATGGAATCTTGAGCAAATTCATTATCTTCTCAAGATCAAAAATTTGCTAAATAAATAAATAAGATAATAATTCACCTACCTACTGGAATGATCACGGAATTACATGACACATGAAAATTCTGAGTTTAATATTTATTTATAGGTAAAAGCTTTATCACTAATCGCATAATGATTTTGACTAAAATACTTGTTCTCAGGAGAAAAGACATAAATTTACTTGATTATATAAATTATAATTAATAGACACCTGAGAGTTTTATGAACAGCAGAGTAACAAAATAGAGGATATTGGGTTGAGATGGAGAGAGGTGGAAGAGTGGATGGAACAGCCACAGACAACCTGGAGGAATATAATCTTGAGTAACAAGGATGCTGATCAACTATATCTCCACCATTCATTGACGACAGAGATAAGATATGGATATAAGGATCCAGGTTTTTCATATAGTTTATGTATTTCTGCCATTATCCCCATTTATTGCATTTTCCTACTTGTGATAATTACCTGGATGTACTATTTTAATCATGGTTTATTCCCAAAGAAACAATAAATTTTCCCCAAAGGAATGATATGCAGAGGCATTAAAGATCTGTCTCTGTTTATCACAGAAAGGAAAACTTTATAAAGAAGAAAAAAATTTTCTCTTAAGTGGGGAACATTGTATGGAGTTTAATTCCCCAGCTGGTAATTTCTTTATATATCTCTCTCTCACCATTAAAGTGATTCTTCCCTTAGCTTATAAATATTAACGAGAAATAAGTTTTGGAGTATATTTCATATAAAATAGTTTCTAATATATTTCATAACTTTTCAAAATTAGGAATTAGGAAAAATAAACATGTTTAAATAAAGTTAGTTAAAATGTTTGGTGTTCTCTAAAGTTTTTTTCCATTTTTTTGCAATTTTTTATATATTTTATTTTCATAAAAGT